TCTTCCTAGCAATTTTACTGAGGCCTAGGGGCCTACCTCCATTTTTAGGCCTATATGTCTACCTCCAAGGTTTTACCACTTAGGCGTACTGCTGGGTGTAAAATGGTAAATTTGAAGAACTTTGCATGACGTTAAACCGGGTGATGTTCAAGATTTTCCATTTTCAAAATTCTTCAAACTATCATTATATAATACAATAATAGCTTCATTTACTGGACGTCTGCACCCACCCACACGATACGAACGACTGTCTGGTGGCTACTCCAATCTGACAGACAACATGATCTAGTCTACATGTAGGCCTATTGACGCCAGAGTATTTCCAGCCAGGCCTGCCGCCTTGTCAAAAGGGGTCGGCGTCAACAAGCGTCAAGTAGCGTCAACAAGTTATTCAAGCATATTTATGCAAAAAAATTATAGGCCTATGTACAATATTAACTGGACGTAAATCTATGGGGCAGTGCAGCGCAGACATCTGGGATTCTCGCAAGATGGCAGGTACTGCGCCGGTGAAAACAGCGACCTTGGCAACGTACGCACTCACCAGCCAGTCCGAGGATCGGATTATACATTCTTACGTATGTGCGCGCTCGTTACAGTTGTTTCACCGGCCGCGGTGTAGGCTAGTTGCTACCGGTATTTTTGTGAAACTCCCGGATGTCCGCACTCCCCCCATAAATATTGTAACGAAACATTGGCCTAGTGCCAGTCTAGGGCTGGTACCCGGCGAGGTGGCTCCGCGCCGCTGCAGCCAGTGCGTGTGTTGCTAGCGGTATATAAGGCAGCGCCGCTGCACGTCGCCCTCTTTTTCTGCACGTCGCTCTTTTTCTGCACGTCGCTCTTTTTCTGCACGTCGCTCTCTTTTCCTGCACGTCGCTCTTTTCCTGCACGTCGCGCTCTGCATGTTGCACGTTAGTCTTGGTACACACGCGAGCTAGCTCTCACAAACTCGCACTCCTGGGTCACTTTAGAGTAATCGGCCGGACCGAGGACCCCGCGGCAGCCGGAGCTACCAGACAGGTACGCAGCCGAGTTTGTGAGTGGAATAACAAGTTTTGAGTGAGTTCCATTGCATTCAAGTCTCCCGCCACCTGTATAGGAGACGCCTAGATAGGAGTGAATAAACCAGAGTGGGTGAGAAAGTGTTGGCGACTGCGGATTTCATGCAGTGCCTGGGGGTATATTTCTCCCAAACGGAGGTACGTCCCGGGTTTTCCCGATAACCGCTCGTCGGGAGGGCCTAATCCTGAGCGTCTGTCCGACGGCACACCACTGGCGAGTGTGAGGGTCGGCGGCACGCTACAGTATTATCTAATAATATTCACTATTACATGTACTCCCAGAACTGTGGGGTCCGATGTCCGCTCCGCTCCCACGGTCATGCTATTTAGCGTCAACAAGCGTCAATACACACAAGTAGCGTCAACAAAGAAAATACCCTCTACAGATTTAAAAAAGGTTTTATTATATTTTAGAGACTCTAACACTTGCCACTGTATAAGAAAAACACCAAATTTGCTTCCAGACTCTCGCAGGAAAACATTTTTTTTTTGGCCA